ATGGAGCTGTTTTTCAGGGATTGGGCTAGGCCTCTTAATTCCAATAAAAGGAAATCTTAATGCTTCAGCGTGCCAAGGTGTTTTGGACAACTTTGTGAGAAAAACTTTGGGGAAGCCTTTTCTATTCCAGCATGACTGTGCCCCAGTAGACAAAAGCAAGGTCCAAAGACAATTTGATATTTTGGTGTGGTAGAACTTGACTGGCTCGCACAGAGCCCTATGACCTCAACCCAATAGAACACCGTCAGGATGAACTGGAACAGAGATTGGGATCCAGGCCTTCTCGTCCAACATCAGAGCCTGACCTAACAAATGGATGAATGGGCGAAAATTCCCATAGTAACACTCCAAAATCTTGTGGAAACCCTGGAGGCTGTTACAGTATGGCTGCAAAGGGGGACCAACTCCATATTAATGTCTTTGTAATTAGATTGCGATGTCATTACGGTACCTGTTGATCATGTCCCAATACTTTTTGTTATTATCTGAATTTAATATAAACCAATAAACGTTCATTTAATTGCTATTAAAATGCAAATGTGTTTGCATTAAAAAAAAAAATTACATCCAGTTTACACTGAATGTATTCTTTTAAATTATATTTCTTCATAATAAGTATGCTTTATGTTTAAGTATGTTACTTTTTTCACAAGGGAACTGTTCACCCAAAAATTAAGTCATACTTGTTGACGACTCACGTTGTTTCAAATCCATATGCTGTTTGAAGTATCTTTGTGTAGCTTTTCCATACGATGGTTTAACTTAAAAAAGTAAGTAACCTGGTTGCCTTAAAATTTTAAGTTCATTGAACTGGAAAAAGTGAGTTAATACAATGAAGGAGATTAATTTAACCATCAGAAACTCAAAATTATATGTTATCTGAACTAAATAAATTATTTAAGTTGATTTGACAAAAGAAAAAATGTTGTGATTACTACACTGTAAAAAATATTGTTGGTTTAACTTAAAAAAGTAAGTAACCTGGGTTGCCTTAAAATTTTAAGTTGATTGAACTGGAAAAGGTGAGTTAATACAATGAAAGAGATTAATTTAACCATCAGAAACTCAAAATAATAAGTTATCTCAACTAAATAAATTATTATAAAGTTGATTTGACAAAAGAAAAAATGTTGTGATTACTACACTGTAAAAAATATTGTTGGTTTAACTTAAAAAAGTAAGTAACCTGGGTTGCCTTAAAATTTTAAGTTGATTGAACTGGAAAAGGTGAGTTAATACAATGAAGGAGATTAATTTAACCATCAGAAACTCAAAATAATAAGTTATCTCAACTAAATAAATTATTATAAAGTTGATTTGACAAAAGAAAATATGTTGTGATAACAAATCTTGAAAATATTTTTTACAGTGTAACTATAAAAGTAGTCCAACCAAATAATGTGCTATTTTCCAAGTCTTCTGAAGCTTTACAAAAGTCAAAAAGCTGTTATCACATATTCCAAATATTTAGCATGAACTGGTTTTATTCAATATTGAATATGACTGAATGTGGCTTGACTACACAAGTTACACAAATGAAAGTAAATTCGCATGGCCAGATCAAGTAAAACAAGTTGATTACACAATGTCACTTTATACAGTGAAGGCTTAAATTTTTATTATAATTTAAACTACAAAAACGCAAATTTATGAAAACGGTGACATCATGAGTATTACGTATTCAGTCTATGGGTGCGTAGTGGTTCTTTACAAAGTCAACAACATCGCAGACTACCGAAAAAATTTTTGTAGATCCGTGTGGTCGGTTTGACTTGTCTGTTTTTAATAAAAAACTTTGTCAACTAAACACCATTGTCATGTAAACCTTTTTTTTTCACTTTCAACGGGCTATCCTGTGAGCCGTCACTGGACGTTTTAAATCTAAATGGCTTTCTGTTTTATTAGCAGTGACTGTGCTGATCTTTTGCATCTTATCAATGCTTACCTAAAAATAAAGTATCATTCTGAAGTATCATTGAAACATCATTTTAGGTAATCTTAAGTTTCAAAATATGAGTTTCATTTCAATAAATAACACAAGCCAGTCTATAAAGTATATTAAGCAAATAACAGAACACTGCAATATTTAGCGGCGTTTTCTTATGCAGGTTTAGTAGTTAGATCTGCTGGGAAATGCAATGCTGAAATGTGTGTAGAATGTCAGTCAACTCAAAATACAAACCAACAGAGACCCCGGCCTTCATTGCTAATTCAACAGATAACATTCTTTTAATCGAATTTTTCATTCTTTTGAAATTACTTCCTCACCCAAGTGTGATCACCATCCCATAACTATTAAACATTAAATGGAATTATCACTCTTCAGCCACTAAATGACTAATGTTCAAGCCGCATTACATAGACGCAGAAGTCTGATGTTAAATTAGATCAACTCCCCAGCTTTGTGCCATTTTCAAAGTACAATCGTAAAGTTACACACAATGTGGATATGAAAAGACTTGCTATTAGGACTTGACTTGTGCCTGAAGCGAACACAGCACTCTTGCTTTCCTCCTGAGATCTACACAATGCAGAACTGAAGTCGTGCAAGGACGCCACCTCTCCAGAGAACTGATGAGACAGTTTATGGTGTCAAATCAATATCTTCGTTGATTGGATCCAGCATCCTTCTAACATTTGTCAAATATTTGTCCAGTATTTCACAATATGACTAGGTCAAAAGAAAGTATTTAGAATATATAATTGTTTTAAATATTTATTATTCCACTTTTTTGATCCAAAACAACAGTGCACTGGGAAAATAAAGCACAGGCATTTTCATGTGTGACTTTTCATCATTTGAGGGATTGCATATCAACCAAATACAAGCAATTTGTCCAGACCTAAAGGATAAAAATATGTTCATTTGAACTAGGGTTCCTTAAAAATATTACATGAAAAACAGAAACAATCTTAGATGTAAAAAGGGTTATACTTGTGTTGTGTTCAAGCATTACTTAATGGTGCTGGGTATTATTTTTCCCCTATCAATCCATTTATGTGAAACAAAACAGTGTACCACTGCATTTTCATAGCACTGCCATCCATTATTTTGTTATGCGCTCTTTCATTTGACAGTTGCTCTAAAACGGAAGTCATGCATGCTTTGATTTGAGCTACTTAATTGGGGTTGTTGCAATTTATGCATAATTCAGTAAATACTTCATAACATCAGACTTAAAAAACAAGATTCCCAGGTCTAATTTCCCCCCAAAATAAACTATGATCATCCATCTTGCATTATCTATTAGGCGATGTTCAGATTGCAGATTTTTTTCTCAAATCAGCTTGCATTAGATCAAATTAAACATAAGGATATAGAAATGTGACTAAATACCAAAGGGGGAAAAAATGGTCACACTTTATATTAGGTGTCTTTAACTACTATGTACTGGGATATGGGTACGGTTAGGACAGGATTGGTGGTCTGGTTAGGTTTAAGGGAAATTAATTACAGCTTTAATTACATGCAGGGTTTTTTTTTTTTTAATAGTGTGTACATAAGTGTTTTTGTAATATAATTATTAGTGCATTGTATCCAATTTAAATGTTTTTACAAAGTAATTAATTATGTACTTTATATAAAGTGGGACGAAACAAACTGTTTAAGTTAACGTTTTTTAAATAAAGGCTAAATAAGAGCAGGCATGAGTAATGGCAAGGTCAGGTTTTATTCCTTCAAATGCTACGCAAGTTGCTTTGTATAAAAGTGTCTGCCAAAAGTATAAATGTAAATAATACAATTTAATGATGAAAATGAAATCTATTCATTTGATACATACTGTACAGCAGGTCTGAATTGACTAGTAGGATTATTTTAAACTTTAAGCAATTGTGACATTTTCCTTAAATATGACCGATATAAGTTCATTGTACTTAATAGATTTTTTTGTGTTGGTCATGAGAATGGTTTTACTAAATGTACTTATTTTTTTTCATGTGAACTCAAATGAAGTTCATAGTACTTGTAAATATGGATTTTAAAAGTATTGGTTTAAGGAATTAAATATTTACACTTTACAATAAGGTCTCAATTGTCAACATTTGTAAAATGTTGTAAAAATTTGTATTTGTTATCATTAGTTATATTGCTATGAACTAACATGAACAACTTTATTTCTACTAACAATAATAAAGATTAACAAATGCTTTACAAATATATTGCTGTTAGTAAATTAATTTTAGCTAATATATTAAAGGAGTAGTTCACTTTTAAAAAAAAAAAACTTTTGCTGATAATTTACTCACCCCCATGTCATCTAAGGTGTCTTTGTCTTTCTTTCTTCGATCGAAAAGAAATTAAGGTTTTTGATGAAAACATTCCAGGATTTTTCTCCATAAAATGGACGGAACCAAACGGTTCAAGGTCTAAACGACAGTTTCAGTGCAAACTGCAAACTGTTCAAAGGCTTTAAACAATTTCAGACAATAAATAAGGGTCTTATCAAGCGAAACGATCGCTCATTTTAGTTTTATAAGCTCAAACGCTCGCCTTTGCTCTGTTCTGTGATGCGCGTTTGTGACTCTCCGGTTCGAACTCATTCATCAAAATGAACGAATCTTTTTTCGTGTCATTTGGTTCATTCAACGAACGAAATGAACAAGTTGGCTCGGGAAAAGATTCATTCATTTTGATGAACGAGCTCGAATAGGAGAGTCACATAACAGAACAGAGCAAGGCGACCATTTGGGCTTATAAAACTTAAACTTTGTTTTTTTTATGAGCGATCATTTCGCTTGATAAGACCCTTATTCATCGTCTGGAATCAAATAAAGCCCTTTGAACAGTTTGCAGTTTGCACTGAAACTGTCTTTTGGACCTTGAACCGTTTGGTTCCCATTGAAGTCCATTATATGCAGAAAAATCCTGGAATGTTTTTATCAAAAACCTTAATTTCTTTTCGACTGAAGAAAGAAAGACATGGACATCTTGGATGACATGGGGGTGAGTAAATTATCAGCAAAAGTTTTTGTAAAAGTGATCAGGGTTTATACTGAAGTGATGTAAAATGACATAAACTATACTTCATGTTTATTAAGTGGTGCACATTCATATTATACACAACATACTGTGTTTGTATTATAATTAATATGATTTCATTAATACAATTAACAAATTTATAATTTCATCTTTGGCAGTGTTTTTACCACTGAATTTGAAATGGCTTAAAGCACTAAGGAAGCCCGTGTCAAGCAAGCAGCGAGTTCTGACAAGTGAACCCTGGCACCTGTACGTCTGGTGGTGTGATCGACCACCGAATCCTCGTGATCGACAGGTCCGGGTTGCCGTGCCCCGTCAGTCAACGTGACGCGCCTGGAAAATGCCTGTCACTCAAAACAAGAGCTCTGGACGCGCACACAAAAGATGGGGAGGCAGAGGATGAAGGACACGTCTGATACTACCGTGCGAATCAGAGGGCTACAAGACCTATCTGTTGTCATCCGCTGTCCTCTGACTTTACCACGGAGGGAAAGAGATCTCCCTGACCTTGTCCTTCCAGAGAAAATGGCACGAAGCAATCTTCAACAAAGCCCTCTCGAGAGATACAGGTTGCCTCTATTAAATGGGCAAATCAAGCAAAGCCCGTGGCAATTTCGAGACTTCAAGGGAAGCGTGATGGGTCAGTCCTGTCGATGTTTGTCGCTGTCATTTTCTTTCCCTCGCCCATGCTCGCCTTTCACAACAAGCTCATTAAAACTGTGCATCAGCTGACATTTTACCCCTCTCGCTCCCGCTCTAGTTGCAGATCATTAGTTAGCATTGTGCGGCTCAGAGGAAGCACACATTTTTCGAGATTGCCGTGTGTGCGGTTTGATGAGCACGTCACCCCCTCACCCCCAAAGATGTCTCATTAAGAGTTCAGTAGAAGCACCTCTCTGTCCCCCGAATCCGACGTTCCCTCCCTCCGTGCTCATTCCCTCTCTTTTCGTCTGCTAATTAGCTGGCATTTTCGCCTCTTCTGTGCGTCCCCGGTTACATCTGAGAAAGAGACGGATATGATTTTTCTTTAACCCAAAGGCCAACTTAATCAGCTGAATTAATGACTTTATTACCCACACTGCCCTGGGCAATGCAGCATGTTTCTCCTGTACCCCACGTTCTCTCTTTTACTGTCACATGCACACCCATACACAACGCAGAATCTTCATACATTTAACACAAAAAAAACAACAGATGAAAGATGGAAAATCGGTACAAAGAAATGAGGATGCTGCGGAAAATACCTTGGTGCAAGATTTTTTTCCAACTTCTAAAAAGTATTCTTTGGTAAAGGTTCATTTTAAAACAATATATTATACAGATTTATGTGTGTGTATGAATATTATATATATATATATATATATATATATATATATAGAGAGAGAGAGAGAGAGAGAGAGAGAGAGAGAGAGAGAGAGATTTGATCAAAATACATTAAAAACAGGAATATTGTGAATTTAAAATAATTGTTTTCTATTTTAAAACAGAATTTATTCCAAAGCTGAATTTTCAGCATCATTACCCCAGTCTTCAGTGTCACATGATCTTCAGAAATCATTCTAATATGCTGATTATTATTACTCAGGAAACGTATCTAATTATAATCAATGTTGAAAACAGTTGTGCTGCTTATATTTTCATGGAAACCATGATACCATTTCATGAATAGAGAGTACAAGAGAGACATTTATTTGAAATATTATGTTTAATATATATGTAAATCCTTACTACTGTACTTTAGATCAATGTAATGTATCCTTGATGATTAAATTAAATTGTATTAGTTAAAAACAATTCTGACTGACCATGGACTTTTGAATATAATGTATTTATTTTCTATATTTGAATATAATGCATTTAATTTCTATATTTGTTTTTAAACCATCTAAAGTTTCTACATTATTGAGTATTTGTGGCACATCCGCAATACAGCTAAAACAATTGTATAACTATAAATAAATAAAAAAAACATTAATAATACCCTTGATGGTTAATGACTGTAAATTTCCATTCTCTGTTATCTGAAAACATTAACAAGATGGGGGGCACTGGGGGGCTTAATTGCCTAAACTGTTTTTGTGGAACAGGTGTTCACAGAAATTCAATTATTTACTTCAGCATTTAATATCTTTAAACATTGTTTTCACATGTCTGTTCCATAATTGCCTTTGTTTCATTAATGAGAGAGAGAAAAAAGTGTTATTTGTTTCATTACAAAAGTGGCAGGTCTTTCTTGCATTAGATAAATTAAGCCATTTTACCTTTTATGCTTTTCTACTCTGAAGTATCTCGCAATTCACAGTGTTTGTAATTGGATAGATGCATGCCGTGTAATTACAAACTGGGACATTTTTGGACTCGGTCGTGAGCATTTATGTTTCATCATGATCTTTTTGATATTAGTAAATGATCTGTGGATGAGCTTAAGTAATTAATGAAAAGATTAATGCAACAGTTGTAATATCAATATTCAAGATATTCACTTTTTTGAAAGTACAAGTATGAAAAATAAGTTTTTTATGAAAACAACAAAAAAGGAAACTAGTTTTATTTGTAGAAACTAGTAGAATCAGCTAAGATATTAAGGTAATAGTTTTTTTGTTTTTGTCTGTTAAATTAAAAATTAAGAAAGCTAGCATAGTACATGTAAAAAAAACATACCTGTATCAATAAGATTTGAACTCTGGCAGACACAAGGACTGCTGATCAAGACGATCTGACCAATTACCAGAGTCTGAAAAACAAAAAAAAATTCAAAACACATTAAATCAAACTTCTCTTCTAATCAACAGCCACTTTTGTCAGTGTTAGCAGAGTGTGTTTTTGTCACTGGTCTAGTGAGATGATTTTCAGTCAGTCCCTGCAGACCCATTAGAAAATTGCACCTGCAGTTCAAGGCATTTCATATGCAGTGAAGACAATACTTGTTTGGCACCATCAAACACTTCCTCTCCTAGATGGGGAATGTGATTAAAAGTGGAGGTGGGGTTCGGTTAGAAAGGAAATATTCATTAACATAAATCACCTTTCTACAACTCCAACCCCCAATGCCACACACACTCCTCCTCGTCCTCCACATGTTCAGTGGCTGTGAGGTGAACGCAGGATTGTTAGCGAGAGATGGCGAAGTCGGATATAATTTGATTTCCACACAGTTCACAAGTAATATGCAAGTGAAATATCCAGTACACTCAGAATGAAATGGAGGAAAAGCACACGATTCAATGCATTTTGCGACCCTAAGCGTAGCTCATGTGCTGGAATGCACATTGCTTCTTCATATTATGAGTCTGATACTGAACTCGACACACTTGCAATGAAATGGAGCCTTGTACAAACAGGCAAATAGTAATATCTTATGATGGCATGTAAGCTTTTAGTTCAGCAAAGCACGAAATCTCCAATGAAAATGTGACAACATGCAATCACTCAAAAATATCAATAACCAGTGTTTCCCGGCCCTGTTCCTGAATGCACACCAACCGTATTTTCTCTCTTATCTGGCCCATCTATTTGTGGTCTTTCTTGGAGTCGTTTCACTAATGAAATGATGAGTTGAATCATGTGTGTTTGCTTAGGAAGAGTTCGAAAATATGTACTGTTGGTTGGTGTGCCTCCAGGCTCCAGGAACAGGGTTAGAAAACACTGCTTTAAAAAACATCATCAATGCGGCTCTAGTGTTTATTGTATTTTGTCTCCCCCTGGTGGATAAAAGGGAAATTACATGCAACGATGCAAGATGAGGATTAAATGCACCACGTGGAATAAACCGTTTTTGAAGAAGTTTATCTCATTGAATCCCATTTAACTTTGCGAGAACATAAATTAAGTGATAAGATCAGACCGCAGTATTCCTCAATATCATTAAAGAAGCACAACATTATCTTCATTTCTTCAACTGCCATTCCTATGGTTTTATAAAAATGCTTTTAATAGCAGCAATGTGAGATTATGACATTCTAACCAATAGCACAAGAGTGACATTGATTTAAAGCGGAACTAGACCCTTGGAGCATGTAAACTAAGTTAAACACTTCAACAAAGGAAAAGTTCATATTTCTGACCATTTAGAAACTTACATTACCCAATCTCTATTTTGTTCCAAACTAAATCAAGCAAAATCCACCACTGCGTCGATCGTGACCACGAGCCACAAATGTGGTGTTCAGTTTACTTCCTAATAGGGGATTATCACGCTTCCGGGTTTCATGGGCGGGATTTGTCAACTTTGTGCATGTCCACTTCCGACGCAGTTCAACCATGCTGAGACAAATGCTATTTACTACTATGTTCCACTTTGTAAATCTAACCAACAACGCCAACCGTACGTAAGTTTTCATGGATTCCCGACTGAATTGAGTATAAGGAAGAGGTGGATTAAAACTTTAAAATAAAACAAGGTAGCACGTTTGTTTGCTGCCGGCACTTTAGTGAGTTAGACTAATTTACCAGGGATGCTGTATAAATAAACTTAGTGTAGTCTTTCATCAGTTTGCCAGCGAGATCGGTGATCTTTGTGCACTGCCACTTCCGTTGAATCACCGATCTCGCTGGTGAACTGATGAAGGACTACACTAAGTTTATTTATAGCCTACGGCATCCCTGGTAAATTAGTCTGACTCACTAAAGTGCCGGCTGCAAACAAACGTGCTACCTTGTTTTATTTTAAAGTTTTAATCCACTTCTTCCTTATACTCAATTCAGTTGGGAATCCATGAAAACGTACGTAGGGTAGGCGCTGTTGGTTAGATTTACAAATTGAACAGAGCAGTGACATATATAGCATTCGTCTCGGGCATTGTTGAACTGCGTCGGAAGTGGACATGCACAAAATTGACAAATAAAGCCCATGAAACCCGGAAGTGTGATAATCCCCTATTGCAATCATTTGAGCAAATCGGCAGTGTTGCCAGATCTCGCGAGAAAAATAAGCAACCAGGCCGGTGAAAACAAGCCCAAAACATGAGACTTTTTCAATAGACAGTAAAAGAGCTTTTTCTACGGAGCCCCCCCTAGGTTCCGGGACGAGGAAAATAAATAAACTGTGTGCACGGTTTTACAATCCGTCGGGACAGATCGGATGGTATTAAACTGTGATTGTCAATTTACGTGCACGTGGACAGATTGGTTGGTAAACTGTGCACAGTTTTGTAAAACTGTGCACACGGTACAGTTTATTTTTCTTCTGTAATGAAGCTTGGCTGTTCATCTAGTGTTGGTACTGCACCCAAATAAAATCTGACTGAAAGCTCATTTTTGAGATATCAACTTAAAATTTGGAACACAACTTCTTCAGATTTTTGGCTTACGTTTTCTAGCAGTTTCAAGGCCTGTTCACACCCCGGGACGAATTTTGCGTGCGTTATTCGCCGTCGTTTAACGCCTCGTGACTAAACAAAGGGCGCCAACGTGCACACCGACGCATAAAACGCCACGCGTAAAAGCGTAATTTTTTTTACAAACGCCTCGGGTTGGTTTTTTTAGTTTGACGTGCTGCGTCAAAAATTATCCGACCAATGAGATTGGCGCTTTTGCTCACGTGTTTGGAGCTTCTGAAGTTACAGTAAAACACAACTTGGGGGCGCTCAAACACAAAACGGTCTTGCCGAGCACACATATGCAACGGCGAAGAAGATACGCCAAGTAGCGTCGCCGTCTACACAGCCAGGAAGAATTGAGACGAGGAAGATGCAAGGCAAGATGAATGTAGAGCTGCTGTTCTCGTTGGTGCTGGAACATAAAGAACTATATGACAAACGCGACAGGGACTACAAACATCTTGAAAAAAGAAAACTGATATGGAGTGGTATTGCAGAGCAAATTGGCGCCATCTAATGTCAGGGAATGAATTTACATGTTCACTCGGCTCATCGTCAGAAAAAAATCGCTTGGTGTGAACACAAAAAACGTGTTGAAAAACGCTGACGAATAACGTGCGTTGATATCCGTCCCGGTGTATATGGGCCTTTAGAGTAAAATATATTTTGTAATATACATATTTTATATAAAATAGAAATAATTATATTTTTACATTGTTCATTTTCATAAACTCAAACTTATAACGTTTCACTTTCATAATTTCATTAATACTTCACTTCAAAAATAATTTGGCAAATGTCTTCTTTAAAACAAGACCAAATAGGTCTACATTCCAAAGCATTCTTGAATTACAACCATTTAATTTTGAATAGTACTTTTCATGTCTATGCGAAAAAAAGGGAGAGTGACAGTTAAAGGGTTAAACGAAATTAAATTATAATATCTATATCTGTAATATCTAATTATTTAATAATATATAAAACTCTCCTACAGTCCAGTCACTATCAATCGCGACGGTCCAGAGTCCAGACTCGCACGACTCGCATGACGTTTTCCTAACTAGAAGACAAAAACAAACAAACAAACAAACAAACAAACAAACAAAAGCAACGATTGCCCCGCTCTGCCTCTGATTGGCTGGTACCCTTTGCCATCTGGGTCAGAGCCAATTAGAAGCAGGATGTGGGTGCGAAAAAAAACTCTTTGAATGGGTAAAGGGAGAGAGGGAACAGGCAAGACAAACTCATAAGTTTAAATCACATAGAAAATATCTGCTGGGCAACGAGATGGGAACAAGCCCAAATAAGAAACTACATTTTAGAAACAAGCCTTAAAAAACGCGACCTGCGACTACCAATATTTGCAAGCGATTTTACAGAAAAACAAGCCCAAAGTCGCTTATAATAAGCGGACTTGGCAACACTGCAAATCGGTTGAGTGAATGATTCAATGACTCACTCGAAAGTGAACTACTTGTCGCCACCTACTGACGCAACCATGTAACCTACAGAAAGATTCACTGAAAAATCTCCACTTATTGGAGAAATGATGCAAACTGGTATTTATAACATTGTTTTAATGTACGATCATAAACACAGTTGTAGTTTTAGAGTTTACAGCATGTAGTTGTTCTTCTAGTTATTTATAGCAACTAATGAATCGGAAATCAAACACTTCTTGTCTTCATATTGAAAAGTAAATGCTAAATGCATAATGTCTGTTCCACAATGCTCATTTGCAGTTTGTTACTTAAGTAAGTGTTCAATTTCCACCCAGCATGTTGTGCTATTTAATTCATTTGCAAAAATGAATTTAATAACCATGAATGGATTCTAATAACTAGCGTTTTAATCATCAGACCACATTTCAAGATTTAAACAAAATACCATTGTTTAGTAAAAGCATATTTGTTTGTGTACAACACAATGTGTCAACTCTAAGTGGAATTGGGTGGCACTGGCAGTCATGGCAACTGGTACCTGTTAATTAGAAGCTTATGGAGGAAACAATCATGTGACCTTGGAGAGCTAAATAATGAATTGATAATGTGCACTTGTGGTCTAGTGCAGGTTCTCTGAATACTTGGGCATTTTTGTTAATGGCTCTTAAATGGAAAGAGGAACACAATCACAAAGGTCATCCTAGAGTTCTTAGAAAAGAGAAGAGAAAATCATGCATTTCTGTATATACCTCTTCCTGTGATCCGAAAGGCAGCTCAGAACCGGGTCAGGATGAGACTGCTGTGCCGATATACGAGAGACATGCTAAATTAATTGTTTTTTTTGTTCTGTACAACAAAAACTTGACATAATCCTTCAGCTAGATATGAGCATCCATTAATGGAAGCTTAATTAACCTTAAGCATAATCATAAATGCCCCTAACTGAAGAATCATCATAATGTATGAGAATGAAGGATGTCATTATTATTTAATTTAATCATGTTTTTGGATAATATTTTCAGAATTCTATCAAAATGTAGTGGCAGATTTCAGTGGCCTCGAAGTCCAGCCGCCTGCAAATCCGCCAGATATTTTGAGCCGGTATCAGTTTGGCAGAATACTTGGTAAGGGAGGATTCGGCATTGTCTATGAAGGGAAACGCCTGGAGGATGGCCTTGAGGTATCCGTATTCTACATACAATATTAGTGTATATTATGTCCACTTTTAGTGCCCTTGTTTTGATTTGTTCTGTTGATCAGGTGGCAGTAAAAATTGCCAGAAAGCCGAGGAAAATGCAGTACATTTCCATTGTAAGTATAGACTACTCTTTCCATGTTCTTTGACATTTTTTAAAATTAAAACATGTAAACAATTTGTTCAAGACTGGGCTAAATCTTGATTTGGGAAAGCACCCCCATCTAACAATGACCTTTCTTCTAGCCTGGTCATCCCGCACCCCTTCCATTAGAGGTCGCCCTGTTAATCCTGGTTAATAATAGGGAGCCTAAAGTTACACAGATCGTTCAGCTACT